TGGAATTAGTTAGAATATCCCAACAACCAAAATCATAATCATCAACATCATTTCCTTGTCTTTTCTCAGTGGCATTATCTCTAAATGCAAATACACAGTCCAAATATGATGGCAAGCCGTTCATTGAAACACAACTTTTGTTATTTATCTGATCAATCTAATCTAAATTATCTGTCAGAACAGTCTTATTTTATCATCACACCGAAAAGATTTTTAATTAGAAGTATATCCATTAGAAGAGCAGAAAAACTGAGACCTTTTCCAGGACCTGTGGAGATTGTTTTCCATCAATCTGCGTTTCTGCTCTTACATAATGGCATGCAGTGATGACTTTGTCTTTGCCAGAAGACAAAATCAGACTTTGACTTTGACTAGACAGTCATATTCAGAGGACGTGACGTGGATTTTCTGCCTCTGATTATGACGCTCGCGGTTCAGAAAGAGCCTGCTGCTGATTGCTGCTGCCCTCGCATCCATCTAATATTGACAAATGCAGGCCTCATCACACGACACTGAGCAGTTACTTCACATGAAGCAGCCTGATCTGCTTTATGGCATTTTATGTGTACAAGTTCTTTTTTAGGGCTGATGTGGTGTGGATATTTAGCTCCAACATTCAGCTGCACAAATAATAACGGTCTAAAGTATTCTTCAGTTTCATTATTTATAACTATAACATTCAGCAACTCATTGATATATATCAGTAGGTGGCAGATGAAATAAGCAGCCAGATTTTTGCTGTTTAGCAGCCAAAAACAGATAGTTTGGATATATTTTGGTTATGAGCCAGACAGAAATCTGAAAAGTGTAGATGCAGTCTGACTTTTGGAGAGAGGAGGGTTTGAGATCAAGGTTGTTGTTCTCCTCCCTTGCTACCCAAACCTTTTGTTTCCATTGATAATTCATCATGATAACAATATGAGGCCAAATTACTTAATTATCCTTTGATTATTATTCATGATGTTTCCACTCTGTGAAATGCAGTCATTTTATTACTGTTTGGGATTTATTACAAGTTACATACATATGCTTTCCATAGGGTATTAATAAAAGTGAGAATAGTCTGCGTGTATGTGCGTGTGTGCGTGCGTGTGTGTAAAGGGTTAACTCTAACAACAGGTCCGCTGTGAGAGTAATAAGACTGGATCACTGTCTCATGGCTCTAAATGACCACAGTATATCTGTAAAACTTGACAGGGCTGTTCATCAATAACAATGACTCGATCATTACTTCATCAGCTGCTGAGAGTTCAGGCTTTCACAGCTCACTGTTCAAGTGTGCTCCGTTCGAGAACACGACTACTCTGCATAGTTCAGTGTCAGGACACTTCAACTCCTGATACAAATGCAAATACATGTAGGCCTTGTTCTTCACTAAAACATGCAGCTGAATATTAGCGATTATTATCATTACAGTATTTAGCTATGTCATACATCACCATCCACTGGACATTTCTCTTTGTTATCTACTTTGACTAGTGCTTGTTATGTCATTCCTCTTTAAATAAAACAAGCTATAGGCGGGTGAGGTTGTGTAAGTTCATTCTTGACCTTGAAAATAGAAGGTTAACAAAATAATCCTAACTCAAGGCCCACCATCAAACTCTTTTTCCCGAGCTTTCTACCACATCACAGCATCTGAGGAAAATCACACTGATTAGACTGTGAGGTGTGACTGAGAGCTCAACTAAACTAAAGGCTAAGAAATGGACCTTCAGTTAAGTGGCCATGTCCAACTTGTCTCTTCAAGACTAGAAGACTTGGACTTGTTAAAGGAACAGTTCGACAGTAGAGTCAGACGAGAAGACTGATACTCTCACATCAGACCATTTAATATGAAGCTAGCACCAGCAGCTGCTTAGCTTAGCTTAGCATAAAGCATGGAAAAGGGGGGAATAGCTAGCCTGGCTCTGTCAAAAGGAAACAAAGCTCACTAATTAACACATTGTTTCTTAGTTTGCTCATTTGTTTAATCCTTACAAAAACTGAAGTGTTCAGTCTTTGTGCTAAGCTAGGCTAACTAGCTACATGTTCATCTTATCTCGCTCTCAGCAAGCAAACTAATGAGCTTATTTCCCAAAATGTCAAATGATTCCTTTGACAAATTACGAGCTGAGGCCTCCAGGATGGCAGACACATGGATGACACATGGACGCAAAAATGGCTTCCATGTGTCATACTCCCTGGACCCCCTCCTGTCTCCCCTGCGGTCCTGGAAGTTGTTTTACAGCCCCAAAACAATTTGTTTAACTCTTTATCAGACTTCCTTTCATGTGTGTTATAGTGTTGCATATTTCATTTAAGTGTGGCTTTCTTTCCTATTTACATGCACTTCCTCTCACTCATGCATTAAGATAGTTCAGCTGCCACTGACAACAACATGCCCTGCAGCAATTAACGTACAAAAATCTATGAGAAATGTCCAGTGGCAGATAAATCTACACAGGAAATGGACCTGACCTGCTTATCAGGTTGCTGTTGGTGAAAGGAGAGGGCCTTGTTACCATAGAAACGACCAATTTGTGACAGAGGTTTGCCTGAGTGACTTCCAGACTCACCTCTCCACAGGTCCAAAAATAATCATTACTGTTTTCAAAACATTTTTTTTAAATGAAGAAATACAACATAATTATGTGATTGTAAATTGTAAATTTGGGTGCAATTATGTTCTTATCTAGGTTTGAAGAATGTTTGCAGTCATCATTTAGAGTCCACAGAAATTTTCTCTGACAAGTTGGTCCAATAATTTTACAGTTATTGTAATCACACAGTGATACTTGTATTAAGATCTAATTTATTCAACTCTTCTAAGATAAGAAAGACTAAAAAATGATATTTAAATGTTCATTTATTATCAATTACTCCTGAAGAAATGAAGCAGGTTTTCTATTATAGACATGAATAGGCATTCTCTGTTGTTGCATTAAGGATTAATGCACCTTTTCATCACCCTTTTTCTTATCTTAAAAATTACACACACACAAACACATGCATGCACGTACACACGCACGCACACGCACGCACACCTGTTCAGCTCAACAAACAGAGGATGGTGCAGTGCACTGCAACAGTATTCATTGTGGTAAATTAAGTCAGAAATTGAGAAACTTTGATCAAAGAGAGGAGATAAAGAGAGAGAGTTGGGGCAGGGGGCGACAGCAGGGGCTCATGGGAGTGATAACTGGCAGCAGGTGCCATTGTCTGTGACCTGCCGGTGAGTGATGAATACTGAGGTTAATGAGATAGCAGGGAGGGATTCAAAAACATGCAGTCAAACAGGGCAAACAGAGGTAATGATGGGTGCCATCTGGAAAATGGAATACAGATTGAATTTACTTGCAGTTCTTCACTTCTGCTCTGTTGTGGTATTAATTTGGCCTCAATCAATGTCATGTCAAGAAATCTGCGACATCTATCTGCACAGACTCATTCATTCAGCATGCGGATGTGATTTATGTACACTGCCGTTTCTCCCCCCCCCCTGACCTCAGTCTGATTGCGACAACAGTGTAAAATGGAGAATGTGCGACCACTGTGCTGCCACAAACACACTCTGTGGCCGGGTGGTGGGGCTTTGAGCGGACCCACTTGCAGAAAGGACTGATAAGCGACAGCAGTGCTGGCTCATTAGGAAATAAGACAGACAAAAACTAAAGGCAATGCCTAGGGTGTTGCCACTGGCAACTGGAGCTGGCCATATGCTATATAGACTTATTGTGCTGCTGCACTCCCTATTAGTGACACTTTTCCCGGAGACAGCAGAGCATCCAGAATAATCCCACCCAATCAGAAGTGTGTGTTTGTAATTCTCAAGGAAGGGAGAAACAGTGGTGGAGATATCTGGGTTTCATCTTGTGCCTCATTCCCTTTTTAAACATCCTATTAAATGAAAACTAAATTGACTGAAGAGAATGGCAGCAATTCAATCAACCTGATTAACGGGAAAACAGGTCATTAAAACTCTCCACCTAGTTATTGAATTTTACAGTTGAAAGGAAGGAAACAAATGGTATGCGGTTATGCTCTTAAGGTATAATGTTAAGTGCATGCTGTGTGCTTTTATGTACATATTTATAAAAGTATACATTATTTTCCGCTGCTCCAAGAAACCCCCATGTGAGTGGAGGCTGCATGAACAGCTGTCCTTGTCAAGCTGAGGCTCTGATCCATCAAGGTGAACTGAATATGATGCTGAGACAAAATAAGAGGAGGAAAAAACACAAGTGACGTTCTGTCTTGCTGTTTATCTCGTCTGCTTTTCTTTCCTACATTATGACTCAGACCTGGTGTGTGCAACAATGGCTTTCTGTGCATAGGGTAGTCCTCTGCAACACTATTTTATGAAAATGAAATGCTTTTAAAAACCTCACAAGAAAAGCTGGGTGTCCTGGGGTGATTTTAGGGAAGCTGTTATTGAAGACAGGCTTTTTATTAATCTGTTGTGAAGAGCAAGAGGCCAGGGGAAAATCTGCATAAATCACTTTAGCCTGAGGCAAATGCTCCTACATGCATACTGTCTGTTATACTGTGATAACACTATGGCTGTTTCCTATGGATTATATAAGCATTTTTACATCCATCAGTGTAAGCGTTTTTGAGAGTGAATGTCATATTTTTTATAATGTCAGTAACATCACTGCTGTATGTGCTCTCACTGAGGTGCTTTCATCTCGGCTAATGGATATGGAGGCAGTCAGCACATTATGTTATAGCATGCATGTTGGTGATAATTCAAGCTAACCTTAAATTCACCTCACATCTCCACAAAGAGATTGACAGAAATAGGAATAAAGAAAGCCTGGCTGGCACAGCGTCATGATGAGAGAATCACCTGCCACCTTGTTTATGGTGGAGGATTTGCCACTGATGCTCATCATGATAATCTAGTGCCTAGGAGATAATCTGAAACCATCTCTGAATCAGATCCCTCTGATATGAATTAACCCTCCTCCACCACCTGACGCTCCAGCTCCTCCTCTCCTCCACAGGCCCATACTCACCTGTACTTCATACTGGTGTGGCGCCCGATGGCCTCCTTCATGTGGGCATGGCCCTGTGGAGTCTGACGGGACCCGGGCCCCTCCCTGGTCTTGACTGAGCCTTGGGACATGTAGTTGCCATTACTCCCTTGTCCACTACCTCCTCCTCCACCACCTCCTCCTCCACTACCACCGCCGCCGCCGCCTCCTCCTCCTCCACCACCGCCCCCTACTCCTCCACTGCTTCCTCCAGGTGGCGGGGCGGTGCGAAGGCCACAAAGCCGGTCCTCGCTGCGACTCTTGAGGTTGTGCTCAGTGCAGGCGAAGGAGACCTGCATCCTGACCCTGGTTTCCGGTGTCTCTTATTTCTGAGAGTTGAGGGGCTGTGGGGTGGGACAGGGGGTGTGGGGAACCGGTTCAGGAAGTCACACAAGCAGTAATGTCTGCAAATTGTTGGTACTGCTTGACACTGCTTCCCGTTGTGCTGTTGTGGCAAAGCAGTGATGCTCATACAAAGGGCTCAGACAGGGCAGGTCAGAGATTTTGGCTGAGAGCTGGTGGGAGCAGGCAGGAGTCCAGCCTCTAACATGACACACACAGAGTTACCGTCTGCTCTGGCTCCTGTCTGGTGATGCAGACCTGGCAAAAGGCTCTTAGAGTTTTCACACTCACAAAATGCATCAGGGCTGCCCTCCAAAAATCATCAGGAAGCTTGTAAGCTCACAGCGGTCCTCAGACGGATTTGAGGATGTGGCAGTTCTTTGGGAAGACCCCAAAACCTCAGTGCAATAGATGCCTCCCCCTCGAGAGTGTCAGTCAGTCTGGGCCTTTTCGCACATACATGCAAAGGCTCGTATGGCTTATGTTGGGTGGTGGAGCACTTGCCAGCTTGCTGTCTTCTCTTCAGCTGAGGTTAGTTGTGTCGGACTTGAGCCGAGGAGCTCCGGAGTGTGCCGCAGCAATGACACAATCACAGCTACAGGCATCCTCACACCTCGCGTCGAAATAAGGCATTTTTTTTTTTTTCTATTTGTCGCAAGGTGGGTGAGGAAAAACTGGCTCGATTGTTCGAATTTACATTGCCTTGGTCCTAACAGGGTAAACAGACTTGATAGGATGCGAATTCACACCGTCAGACCCCACCGATGCATCATCGCCCAGCAGCCTCACGCAGCATCAAATTTGATGCAAGAGAGAGAAAGAGAGTGAGGAGAAGAAGAAGAAAAAAAGAAGCAGAAACAAATTCAAGAGCAAACACCGAGCCGGTTTTTTTTTTTTTTTTTATTACCTTCAGTGAGTGAGGTCGTTCACATACCGGCAGCGGCGGCAGAGACTGTGCAGGTCTCCTGTTATTCGGCAAAATCTCACGGTGCACGGATTTGAAAAAAATGCCGGCATAGTGGCCCAAAAATCAGCTGCAGCAGACATTTCAAACGCTCGATGATGATGCCGCCTCTTGGCTCTCCCTCAGCATCATTTTGTCAGTTCACAGTCCGACTTCTTTTTGTTTTTTCTTTTTTTTTTCTTTCCCTTTTTCCCTTTTTTTTTCCAGAGGCTCCAAAAAATGTTCACGACACACAAGCTGTGTGGGGGTTTGCAAGATGCTCCCTCGCGCTCTCTCTCTCTCTCTCTCCCTTCCTCGCTCTCTCTATCTATCTCTCTCTCTCTCTCGGGTGTGATCTCTACATTTTTCATCACACGAGTGTACACACATTTCATCACATCGTCACATTATGTTAGTGGAGCTTATACGCACTACTGCGTTTTGAAAAAGTAAAAAAAAGAAAAAAAATTCACCATGCACCATTCTTTTCTTTTTTTTATATCAGCACACAAAATGCCAGTTAGAGTCAAGCTATCACAATATCCTCATTATATTGTCTTTAATTTTCATTTATAGTCGATGATAAATCGACAAAGCTCCTCATCTCTCACACATGACTCTCCATCTCCATATGCAAGGATCAGTGTTTTTCTACCACACCCAGTTTTCCATGTGCCTTTTTTTTTCACTTGATATGCTGTGCATCTATATGACCACTCACCTAAATTATACTGAAACACCATCATCATCATCATCATCATCATCATCAATGTCAACCTCATCATCCTTTCAGAACAAAACAGATTCATGATTTCATCCAACGTCAGCTCACACCGTAAGAATGACATATCATATCATTTTGCATCAACATCACATCATGTTAAAGTAAAGGCGATGTGTCATTTAGTAGCCAGGCAATGATAATAGCTCCTGTAAAGCTGTGTTGACAATGTGAGCTGCCACAGCCTCAGAGAAGACTGTCAATCCTCAAAAAGTTGCAAGTGTTTGCTCTGCAGTATCTGTTTCTCGCAGCAGGACCATCTGCAAAGAACCTCACTTATGCAAATAAAAATGCAGACACACACACACAGCCATACATACAAATGTTCATCGTTTCTGTCAGTTTGTTCTCACGCCCCAATGATATCCTGCTTTTAGAGCTATCTGTGGTTCCAGGATGAGCTGCCAGCGAGTTGGCAATCAGCTCTTTTTAAAGAGCTATTCAGTACAAGTTGAGAGATGGGACGTTTCCAGCTGTATATGCAGAAAGAAAATGTGAGTGCCACCCACTGTGACACTTTGAAAGAGAAAGGTCTAATGATCTCCTCTCCTGTGCGAGCACAGTGAGTACCTGCACAGACATTTGGATGTTGCTGCCCCGTTGCAGTCGGTTTGCCAAAGATCATCTTAATCCAAGTATCTGAACTTTTTATACAATCAGTTTGACTAATATTCTACACAGAGGCTTAACCTTCACCTTCACTCCAAACAGTGTCCAATCAGCACGTTTTGAATAGCAATGACACTGAGACATTTAGTCTGCCCAACAGTTCATATTGCACTAAAACTGACAGCTCAGGATATCACAGACACTTGGGAGCTTCACTTCACTCTCACAGAGCACCAGCTGCTCCATCTTTAAACTCTGTATTGAGGCGCCACAAAACCGAGTCTGTCTTTAAATATATTCATTCACTTTTTTCCGCAAACAGGAAGGCCGCATTAAACTGAAGTCTCAGGAAATGAGGGGATGACCGTCTTTCTTTTATGGAGAGGCTTTATGCAACAGATTGTATAATGATGATGTCCTGGAGTCTGCCATCAGACTCTGCACCAAAGCTCATTACAAAGCATGTTTCTCCTACTGGTGATCCTCCATAAAGTCTACAGCCTCGATAACACGCTCAAGCTCATTTACATAATGCTGGTCTGATCCTATCTGCAACTCAAGTGGCTGCGTTTTCATTTAAAAACCAGCAGAAATAACTAATAAATGTCATCCAGTAGAACATGTAGATGCAGATTGTCATTTTTCTGGTAGCTGGACAGACGGTAACGGAAACTGTTAACAGTGAAGTATTCCCTCAGACATCTTGTTTTTCTTATGGTCTTGGATCATCTTGAAACGATTCAGCTTCGCATTAAGTTTGTCAAAGAGGGGAGAGTCAGAGGACAGTCATTAAATTCTTTTAGCAGAATTGGTTTGACTTAACTCCCTCAAAATTTAGATTCCATCTGACAAACTGTAATACGTCTAACCCTTAAGCTTTATTTTATTGAAAGACCAGATTATGAATTCATAATCTGTTTTGTCAAAATTTAAGTGTCTGTCTCACTTTCCCGAATTTGCTCAGGGGATGAGCGGGCGTGGACTATTGTTGTTTCCAGCAAAACCAGCGAAATCAGAGAGAACGCCAAGTTACAAGTCATCAGTTTCAGCCATGAAAGGAAGTTTAAAACTGGTGCAACATTACATAAATTAACCGCAGCTCACACATCACACACAGAGGCTGCAGAGACACTAAAGATGTTTAAATGTAAGAGGAAATTCACAAGAGCCGGTTCCAGTGATGGAAGCAGAGCTGGCAGAATCAGCTGAATCATACTCTGCTGTGACTTAAATGTACTTCGGTCAAATCACTCGGATGCTGTTAGTAAATGCTACAATAAGTCGCTAGATCTGAGTGCAAATGAGGCATTTCTTTTTTTATGAAATTGCAGGCATCACCAGTTCATTCAAACGATTCCCTCTAAGCCTGGAGATTTTGTTCCTTTTCATAGACTGTGAATCATTGTGCCACAGGGCTGACTTGTCCGCACACCAAGGTGACACTGCCACCTAGAGGCAGCCTTTACTGTGGTCTTACTGACTGTGTTGGTCTGTTTGGGATACAGTACATGGTATCAAATTAAATGTCATACTGAGTCATGAAAACCAATTTCCAATAAACCGTGCCACTGATATTCTTAAATGATGAATGATGAAACATGCAATGATATGCTGTAGAGCGTCCGAGTTTATGCTGTACTATCTTTTAGTTTAATTCCAAACTTTTTCAGCGAAAATGATTCATGTCTACCTTTTCATCCCAAAAATAGCTAACCTGGTGACTGCCTGTCTCCCGCTGTCAAATCATGCGGCGCTGACCGTGGGCTTCTGCCCCACTGATGTGTCTTTTGCGGGGTGACAATAGGCAACTGTTGATGTACAAATCCCATAAAGCTCCGTTATCTTCCATTAACATTAGTGATGCTGAACAACCAAATGTGTCTGCAGTCCAGCCACATTTATTCAGCGCTGCTTTGCTTTGAAATCTCATCAGACGCCTAATGTTTCTTTCTAGGTCACTGGTGGGGAACTGCAAATATATATGTTTTTCTTTTTTTTTCACCCATGAATGATGTCTCCACTCACTGCCTTCGATTGCAGCCCTCTTCAAACACTCAACTACATTCATGCATTAGTAATATATTAGAAAAATATTAATCATGTTATTTAAATGGATCATTCACAGATGGCTGAGTGCTCAGGATGGTCTCATACTCTCTGTCTGACTCTCTGCAAAAACCTAAGTGCTTTATCCTGTGGTCGCCTGTCCTTATTTGGCTGTATTAATATGTTCTTTGTCGAAATCCGCCTAATCTTTTTTTACGTGATAGTTGTTTTACACCTTTTCTAGTTATTTTCTGATTATTGACAAGTTTTTATTTCAAAGAATCAACTTACATTGTGATTTCACATCATATCATCATATAGCTGCACTAGCTATTCAGACATTACAGACCTCATCGTGGGAGCTCTCTTTTTCCCTCTCACCTGTATGTCATTGCAGAGCGCTCAGCCTCGCACTCGGCCAGGGAGAGGCCACATTCTCTCAGGTAGAGCTCCAGTCGGCGTCGCTCCACCAGCCTGTGCGCCGCCTCCAGGATCTGTGAAGCCAGGGCCTCAGACTCGGTCCTCTGGTCCGAGGTCTTGCTGCTCCGGGCTCCAGATTTGGCCACAATACTCCCCGAGGAGGACGATGCCTTGGGCTTCTTGCTGATGCCATAGAGGTCTTCCACCGAGTATTTCCCTCCCTTTCCTCCTCCGCTACCACCACGGCTGGCAAACATTGCTATCTGGGTCCAGTGCAGGAACTGATGAAAATCGTTCTTCCCTTTTTGCTCGGTTTTACCTGCTACATCTACTTTAGGTAAAAACAGCTTCTGAGTTGGAAACAAAACAACAAGGCAGAGCTATTTTGATAGAGATTCATGAAGATTTGAAACAGCCGGCCCAAAGATGTCAGACATCAAACTGCTGGAAACAAGAACTTGAAGCACCTGTAAAATATCAAAAGGTCTTGATTGCTCCTTTGTGGAGTCTAAATCCAAAATAAAACAAAGCCAGTCCTAACATGTCAGCAGCAACACCCAGTCACAAACAATGACTCCAGCTGATGTGAGGTGCTTCTTTGAGTAAAAAATGATAGGGAAAGCAATCAGCATCTTTCTCTCTTTATCTCTCAAAGGAGGGACAGTAAGGGATTTGTGCTGAAGCCCCACCAGCTTACATTTGTTCAGATTAAGAGAGCGCCCGGATGAAGTATGTGTTCTTCTGTGGCTGCCATATAATCTGAATCGGTGGAGGCTGTGAGAGTTCAACTCTCTGACCTTTTCTCCAGACACTGAGTAGTAATGTGTTTTTTTTTTTTTCACCTACATGGACAATTGATCAGTTAATCTGCAGGGGCTATGTCATCATAAGCAACACTCCTGCTGCCTTCCAGCTCCTGTTGGCTCCAACAAAGAGAGAGTGGCATCCTCCCAAAGCGTGGCACCGGCTTCAGGCCAGTGCTGAGTGTTATTGTTGGGTTCTGGGTTAATGTGCTAGCCAAACCCCCAGTGCCTGTTTTTCACACAACCCATGGAGAAGCACAGAACGTGTGAGCTTTCCACTGGAGGGGAAACTAAAAAAAAAAAAATCTCTTAGAACAGATGAAAAGGATAGAACAGCATCTGAGTGTTAAAATGAAATGGAATTTAAAATAAATGAAATAAAGACAGACAAATAGAAATAATATGGAACACGGGAGGCTGCGGTTTAGAAAAATGATGATACTGACGGAGGATTACTTATCTTCTCAACAGTATATGAAAAGAAATCCACCTTCTAATCTCCTACATGCATATGGGCAAAGTCCCAGCTCAGTGGCAAATACT